AATTAATCCCAAAATTAATTCTAACTGATTTTTGATAAATTCTTAATTAAATATCGCTATTTCTAATTAATATATCAATTTCATAGTATATAAATAAATTAGTTTATTTCTATTTATTAATCATATAATAAATCAATAAACTAGTCTCTCTCTCTCTAAAAATCATCCTATTGAATTATTATGTCTGAGGGTAACCTAAAAGGATTTCGATAATAATTCAAGTTTTTACTAATTCAGTTACTGGCTTAGACACCTAATCCAACAGAGGATGCCATAACATTTGGTATTGATCGAGTAACGAAGCACTAAAATATAAGTGATGACACAGTCTTTTCAGTGGATACGTTAGATTCATATTTAGTGAAAGAAATGCAAGGGTGGAAAGAGAATGAATCAGAAGGATACATGACTCTGAAGGAGGATGATTTTGATGCCAAAAATAACCTCGAAGAACTGGAGAAGCTGTTGGAAGAAAGTGTTTATGAAGAAGAGAAAAAACATTCTGAAGAAGCCCTATGGCCTCACCAAATACATGCAACAGTGTGGGAGTCAAGAAATTTGCAATTTGACGATCAATAATGTATCCCCACAATGTGGGAATAACAAGCCCATGTCTGGCCACTGAACATAGCCAAAAATTAGAATTGAAGCCCTTACCCGATCATTTGGAGTACGCTTTCCAAGAAGATAATGAACAAAAATTAGTGATCATTACATCTGATTTGAACCCTAAAGATAAGGAGAGATTACTAGAGGTGTTGAAAAATCGAAAGAATGCCATCGCATGGATGATTTCTAATATCAAGGGAAAAGTCCCTCTTATTGTTCACATAAGATCATCTTGGAGGGAAGCTTGAAGCCAATGGTACAACCACAACAAAAACTGAACCCGAACATGCAAGAGGTGGTGAAACAAGAGGTAACAAAGTTGATGGATGTCAGTATAATTTACTCAATTTCGAATAGCCAATGGGTGATCGTGGTTCATGTTGTTTAAAAGAAAGGAGGGATAAGGGTGGTGACAAATGAGAAGAAAGAGCTCATTCCTACTAGGACAGTAATTGGTTAACGAGTATGCATGGATTCTCACAAGTTAAACAATGCAACTTGCAATGACCATTTTCCTTTACCTTTTATTGATCAAATGATTGAACTTTTATCCGATCACGTTTTCTATTGTTTCTTAGATGGCTTTTCAGGTCCCTTTCAAATACCTATTGATCCTAAAGACCAAGAGAATACAATTTATACATGTCCAAGCAGGAATTTTGTTTATCGTTGAATACCTTTTGGGTTATGTAATGCGCCAACCACTTTTCAAAGTTACTCGACTGCTATCTTTCATGAAAAGGTGGAGAAGTTCATAGAAGTCTTCATGGAAATTTTTTTCTATTTTTGGTTATTAATTCTATAATTGTTTATCTAACCTTGATTTGATGCTTGCAAGGTGCAAAGAGACCAACTTGGTATTGAATTGGGAAAAATGGCATTTCATGGTTACAGAGGGAATAGCGTTAGGAAATAAGATTTACAAGGAAGGGATAGAGGTAGATCAAGCAAAGGTCGACATATTTTGACTTTGCCACCTCTAACAAACGTAGGGGTGTCGAATTTCTTGGGTCATCCGGGATTTTACCACTGATTTATAAAAGATTTTTCAAAAATAACAGGACCATTAACCCAATTTCTTTTAAAGATGCTAACGTCGATTATTTTTAATGATTATTTGAAAGCTTTTGAACTTCTTAAAGAAAAATTGACAACCGCCCGAATCATGATTGCCCTGGACCCGTACCTTCCATTTGAGTTGATGTGTGATGCTTGTGACTATGCATTAGGAGTAGTTTTAGGACTAATGGTTGAAAATGGTTTCCAAAGAATCCACTATGCAAGAAAAACACTCAACCCGACTCAAGAAAACGACACCACCATGGAAAATGAACTATTAGCCATTGTTTATGCATTTGATAAATTCACCCTTACTTAATATTGTCTTAAACAATTATGTTTACTGACCATTCAACCTTAAAATATTTGTTTTAGCAAGTAAGATGCAAAACCAAGGTTGATCCAGTAGGTGTTACTACTTCAAGAGTTTGACATCGAGATAATAGACAAGAATGGATCTAAAAACATGGCACCCGATCATCTCTTTCCAGACGAGTACTTAATGGTGATAGCAGGAGAAAAACCTTGGTTTGCGGACATCATGAACTACCTTGCAAGATTTTACATTCGAAAAGGTCTTTCCTACCATCAAAAAAGAAGTTATTTTCTGACCTTAAGTACTATTTTTGGGTTTAGCCATATCTATTCCAGTTTTACGCTGACGAGATCATAAGAGTATGTGCTTTTGGGAAGGAAGTGAGAGACATATTACATCATTGCCATACTAGACCTACCGGAGGACATCATGGAGTGCACTACACGGGAAAGAAAGTATTTAATGATGGATTCTTTTTGCCTACGATACACAAGGATGCAACTACCTTAGTCAAAGAATGCGACTTGTGTTAAAGATCGGGCAACATCTCTTTCGCAATGAAATGCCCCAAAATATCAATTAAGTCTGTGAAGTGTTTGATATTTGGGGAATTGACTTTATCAGACGATTTCCAGCCTCACGACGTGAAAAGTACATACTAGTGTGGTTGACTTCATGTTGAAGTGGGCGGAAGCGCAAACTTTACCCACTAATGACACATATGTTGTCGCTAATTTATAAAAAAAAAGGTTATTTTCTCATTTTGGCATACCTAGAGCCTTAATTAGTGATCGGGGAACCCACTTTTGCAATGAACAACTTGCAAAGGTGTTACAAAAATATCGTGTACACCATAGTTTTGCAACACCTTATCACCCTAGGGTATAATTCAACCTAATTTACACATATGTGCCTTGCTTTGAGGCCTCGTCCTGGGGTATATTTCAACCTGATCAACACATATGGACCCCGCCCTGGGGGTCTATTTCAACCTAAACATACTGTAGTGGGCCCCCATAGGGTATATTTCAACCCAATCATACTATAATGGGAACCGCACTAGGGTATATTTCAACCCAGCATACAATTACATATAAACCACATAATAACTACCATTCTGAGAAACACAATAATGGTCCGACATTTGTGCCTTCGACCCATGGATACAATGAGGTAACTCAACTCACAGATAGATAAGTGAACTGAATAGCATGTGGCTTCAAGATCAACTCTACCAATCACCTTATTAAATTAAGTGACACCACTTCAACATACAAATTAAAATACTAAAAGTACCCCTAGGTCAAACCCTAGTCAAATCCAAGTCAAAGTTAACTAAGTTGACTCAGTGAGTACATTGGGAGTACTCTATACATATACGGGGCGTAATGCATGGTTGACCAAAAATCAGGGAGCTGACTACGTACACGCAACATACCCCTTGGTACGCCCATCATATGTGGTTGCTCACCACTTTAACCATTAAGTACTTAATCCTTAAGCACTTACATCTAGACCCCAAAAGATATCCTTATCCGTAAAGTTTCCAACTTTATGGTTTAGCATGGTTATTAAGACCTTAGCTCTAAGAACGTTAGCTTATTTACCCATTAAGAAAATCTAGCTCATGAATGGAGAGAAACTAATGAACAAGAGCACATTTTTATGACTTAACACACCCTAAATCCCCTGGAAGTACCACTGAAAGGTTGTGGAATATCTCCTACTCACAAAGATCAAATTTAGGACAAATAGTTGACAACTTTGAGCTAAAACTAGACCCATAATAAATATACATCAAGATTGAAGGTTTTTACCTCCAAAAGATGCACAATGAAGAGGAAATGTTGGATCCAAAGTCTTGAGAGGAAAGCCACTTCCTTGATGATCTTCCTTGACAACAAAGAAACCCCACAATTCACTCCAAAAAATAGATTAGGGTTTGCAAGGAGGGTCAATTTTTGGGTGGAGCCTAATAAAAGGAAGGGTTTTGAGACTATAATGGTGCTTATATAGTGCAAAAACCCTAAATATTAGGGTTTGGGTCCAAATTGTGTACGCCCTGCATACAAGTGTACGCTCAGCGTACATGCATAGGGCCACGTACGCCCAACCTACTCATGTTGCACCAACTAATACGACAATGCCATTAGGGACCCATTTTGCAAAAAAAAATAATAATAATAATTCAAGTGTCAAAAGCAAATACCTGAAAAATTAGATGTTACAGTCCAGCTCAAGACTCCTAAACAAGAAGCGCTTACGGGAGGCAACCAACGATTTGCATTTTCTTTTCTTTTTGTTTTACTTTTGTGTTTTGTTTTATATCTTTTTTAAGGATTCACACTCTTCAATAATTGTATATTAATTGTTTTTGTGAGGGCAAGTAACAAATAAGTGTTGGGTGTGGCGAAATTATGTATGAAAATTAAAAAAAAAATTATGAAACTGGAGGAGCTATTCACACAACCTATGCTTCCAAGATTTTCCGAAATACGCGAATTTCGAAAACACCTCGGGAAAAAGATATCGATATACCACCAGTCTTGGATTGGAACTAGAATCAAGATACAGGGCTTGGGGAACAAGTGGAGCCATATCTCATGAAGTTCTTTACGCAAGATCGGGTCTAAATTACTCTCACGGGTTGGAGACAGTTATGTAGGTTCCAAGAGTCGGTATATGTGGAGTTATACGTGGAGTTATTCACTACAACCAATTTTTGCAAGCTAGACGATGTTAATGATTGGCAGTACATGTTACATAAGTAGAATGTGGACCACGATTGCAAATGGGTCCTACATCGTAGACACTACAACAAAAGGAAATATTAGAATGGTTGTGCACAGGCTCATTCACAGGTTGATCTCATTTTCTATCTATCAGAAGAAGGAAGGGGATCGGGTGCCCATACTAGATGAGTTCTTTATGTTGTGTATCATTACACCAAATGTATTTTTCCACCTTTCTTACTGTGTTGTATATTTTTTGATGAATCGGGGAGGCAGGAGCAAGGATGGGTCGCTATTTATGGTGGAATGATGGTACCAAGATGGTTGGCTCTTTTGGGATATTTGATGATCCTGAGGCAATATTCCTCACACGGATGGACGTCCTCCCTTTAAGACCATGTTTGTTCAAAACCACTTGCATTATGAGGCATATGGGAAATGATGCCTACTTGGTACTTGTAGATGACACAGAGAATTGCTAGCAGAGCACTATAATGTGAGGTCGAGGGTGGATGATCAGGAGCCTAGAGATGCAACCATGGGAGACGAATCAACCTTGGATCCTTACCATGTGATAGCCTGCAATATGATGATGACATTGGTCAGGGTTTGAACTTTTTGGAATATTCTATGGAGGTAATGATGCATCATATGTCAATAGTGCCCCCGGCTGGAGCACCTGCTCACTACACTTACATTCCTACTTGGGAGGAGCGATGAGTTAAGCATACTAGTGGAGTCGGGAACAAGTGGAGCAAATCAGGAGGGTGATGATGTGGACGAGTGAATTATCCTTGATTTTTATTTATTTTTTATTTTTTAATACTATGCTTATATTTATTTGATGCGTTAGGATTAAATAATGTAGGATAATCGTAGTTATTATTTTTGTGGTTGATTTTCCTTTTATTACATTTTTTGTTTTTGTTTTCTCACAAGACATGTTATGTTGGCATTAAGTTTAGCGAGTTGATAGGAGAGTGAGATTATGTTTCCTGAGAAACATGATGAGAGCTTTGCTGAGTATATTAGATTGCATCATTGGGCTGTTTTTTTTTATGTCCATTATGTTCACGGTATGGGCCTATCCAGTCGTATATATGATTAGGGTTATAGTGCATGCATGCAACCTTAGTTGCATGCATGCAACCTTAGTTGTTAACGTTGGATTGATCTTTTCCTTGTAACCCTAGCATGCGTCTACAATAGCAATTCTTTATAGAGTTCTTCTGAGGTTGTGGTTTATTAATCATTCGACATCTTTGATCCATATTGTGTTCTTGTTTTTTTTACATCATGCAATTCTTTATTTGTTAGAATCTAATCAATTCAAAAGGATTTTATTCCTAACAATTGGTATTAGATCAGGAGGTTGTGTAAATCATACACATCTCTTCTCTTTGAAGAAATCATTAGGGTTTCCATTATTATCGAATATGTAGGAGCCATCACTACTTTATTGATAATACTCCGTGATCTTGATAATACCCTAATACGATCCTATATGGTTGATTCTTAATAGTTATCAATCAAGTCAACATGTCGCACGATGATTTTTCATCCAATCCAATCAACATATCAAACAGCATAGGTTCAACCACAAGAATTCCAATTCTATATCCTCACAAGTATGAAGTATGGGCTCTTCACTTTGAAGACTATGTTCTTGGCTTAGAAGATAATGGGTATTTGATATGGGAAGCATATACCTTGGGTCCTTTTGTTCACTCTGAAACCAAAAGAGTCATTAAAACTCAGAAGGAATACAATCAGTTGCTCATTAATATGATTGAAGTTCCTAAGGATGAGAGAGACAAACTCACAAGTGACATTAAAGCAATGAGAGTTATAGGGTTTGGTCTTCAGTCTGATACATTCCGCTTGGTTAGTTCCTGTGAAAGTGAAAAAGAGATTTAGGACATGCTTAAAGAGCTTTATTCCACAGATGCTGGTCTCGAGCATTCCGCCCAGACACTCTTGCTTTCGGAGTTTGGTGTCTTCAAACAGAAGCCAGAAGAGAATCTCAGCCACACTTTCAGCATATACAATCATCTTCTTAGTAGGATGATTAAGCATGGAATACAATGAAAGCTGATCGAGCAGAAGGTCACATTCATGAATGGTCTTAGGTCTTAATGGATGGCGGTAGTCTCAACTGTTAAAGCACATGAACAGTTTAAGAATTACACATTAGCCAAACTAGTTGGCATTCTTAAGTCACGTGAAAGCGAAGTGATAAGAGAAACGAAAGTAGTGTCCAGTATGGGGTGCTTAGCTCTTGTGGCGAAAGGCAAAAATGCTACAAAGGAAGAATCTGAAGTGGAACTCTCTGATTGTGATCATTCAAGCGAAGATTATGCACTAATGATCACGAATCCTAAGCGGTTTGCCAAGAAGAAGTTTTCATCAACCAAGAACCAAAATTGACAGGGAAGATATAGTGCTGAGAAAGTGAAAGGGGAGAATAAAAGCGCTCCTAAGAAAGAATAAGATAAGAAGGAAAACAAGCTTAAAGGTGACTCTGGCTTTGACTGCAATTACTGTCATGGTAAAAATCATTTGGCGAAGGAGTGCATGCTGAGAAGGCTAAATGAGAAGAAAGAAGGAGAGGGTGATGAAGCTTACCACATGCGTAAGCTGGAAGAGATCAAGAAGAAAAATACTAATGATAACTCAATGTCCACTTTAATTGTTCAGGAAAATACAACAGATGATGAGTTTGGAGGAGTGGAGATCTCGTCAACTGACTTTGAGGATGAGGAAGTCCGCAAGCCCACGCATGACAGGGCATTCATTGCGAAACAAGAAAGCTCAAAATTTGTGGGTAGGTGTTTGATGGTGACCAATGGTGGGTTAACTGATAGTGGATATGGGGATGAAAATGGAAGAGTAGATGAGAAGTGTTTCACTGCGAAATCTATTAGCGAGCGAATCAATGAGTGTGATCAACTAATCAAAAAGGTGTACACCATTCTTGAATCTCTTAACATACATGTATCTAAATATGAAACTGAATTAAACGACATAAAATTCACCTTTTCAAGTATAATTAATAGTCTTAAACAAACTCGTCCAACGATTGCTAACCTAACTGATGAAATCAGCAGGACGTCATCCAAAAGTGAGGAGTGAAGGACATGGATTGAGAAGATAGAGGCAACGTTGTCTAGGTCTAGAGATGAATTAATTTATTGGCAGAGGGATAATTTGAAATTTTTGAAACAAATAAACATTTTTTGTTTGATCGCTAAACTTCTTTATACAAATATTACTCACTTGCATTTAGATTGTCATATAGTTAAAAGATCTGCAAAATGATCTTGCCTTTTCTTGAATTCAAGGAAGACGAGATTGATGCTGACTGTTACAAATGTGAATCTATCGCTCTTTAGACGAAACCTCTAAAGCTTACAAAATTAGACTGGACAAAATTGAATCCTTTATTAAGTCCGAAGACCATACGGACATGTTGAAAAACTTGCTCGATGAAAATGACAGGTTGAAAATCAAGACCGCAAATGTACATAAATTTGACTCGTTGAATTCCAAGTTTTCAGAAAATAAAATCAATCTTGAAAATACATATGAATTTGACGAGGACGGTGATATGAGCGAAATATCTATAGAGGATGAGGTTGGCTATTCTAAATTTGTTAAAAACGAACGTGAACCTGCAAAAGTCCTTATCTTTGAAAATTCAGTTGAATTCGCTCCGATTTCTCAAAATAAACCAAAAACACTAAAAGTGAAAGAAACTGTTTTTCCAAAGGTCCAAACTATTAAAAATCAAGTATCTGCTACTGTAGGACTAGACAAAAATCATACCATCGAACTAACGTCCACCATTAATGAAGACAATAAAGATGGTTCTGATGACTTGTTCTGGTCTGCACCAATTGATAATGAAGATGAAACGAAGGGTCTTTCTAAAAGAACTTCATGGAGAGTTAAAGGACGTTATGTTGTAGAGCCAATAAATAAGCCTTCAAGATTTGAGAAAGGCGGTCCAAGTGGGACTAAAGGATATCCAAGCGAAGCTCATTCTTGAAGGAGCGAATCTCATGCAAGTGAACCGAAGTGAAAGGTGAATATTCACAAGTCTTCAAAACAACTTGTTGAGAAAAAATGTTAGAGGAATTGGAGATATCAGAAGAATCTCAATGAAAGAAAGCAGTTTTCGCAATCCCAAAACACTAATTACATTCGCAAAGAAAAAGCCTCAAATGAAAAAGTGAAAGCTAGTTCGCTTGTCAGTTAGTGCTCACACTATCATCAGAAGAAGCAATCAAAGAATTTTGCTTCCAAATCTTTTTCAGTGAAATCAAGCGAGAGACCAAAATCGCATATTCCTCAACCCGCAAAAACTTTACCCAAGGATGTCAAAGGAAAGGCACAGCTAGTCGAAGAGACTAATGCTCAAACTAAAGAGTCGACGTCTAATTCTAAGAAAGTTTATAAATAATTCGTCAAAAATCAAATCAAAATAAAAGAAAACAATCTGATTTAAAGGTGACGAAACACAAAGATAATAAGATCAAAGTTTTTACCATTAAAAGGAAAGATCAAACCACTTTAATTAAGCAAACTTAATTAGTTGATCTCGCTATAACTTTTCCTCGTTCTGTAAAGGCCTTACTAGGACCCAAGAAACTTTGGGTTCCTAAATATGCTTAATTTTTGCAGGCTAAACGTGACTAATAGATCGACAATGAATGGTACATTAATAGTGGCTGCTCACATCACATGACTAGGAGGAAGGATGAGTTGAGGGAGTTTCGTGCTCTAAAAGATGGCGGAAATGTAAAATATGGTAATAAATCATTTGGGACAATCAAAGGCTATGGGATGATATCGAATGAAGATTTCTCTATACGAAAGGTGGCTTATGTGGAAGGACTACAAAACACAACCTGATTAGTGTTTCTCAATTGGTTGTGGGAACAGGGTTGAAAGTAAACTTTGATGACAAAGGTTCTGAGATTATAGAGAAGGAAACAAAAGTTGTTCTTTTAAAGTCTCTAAGGAAAGGTGAAATGTATCCTCTGAAATTGAACCTGATAAGAGGAAAACCTGTTGTCTACCTACTAAGAAAAGCTCACTCTGATGATAGCTGGCTATGGCACCGACGACTCTCGCACCTAAATTTCTAGGATATCAACAAGCTCGTGATTGGTGATCATGTGCGCGGGATTCCATTATTAAAGTTCAATAAGGATCATTTATGTGCGACATGTGAAATGGTGAAGCAATGTAGGAAAAGCCATCCCACTCAAGTAAACACGAAAATCATTGAATCTTTAGAACTTCTACACGTAGTAAGTATATACTAGTTATAGTTGATGATTTTTCACATTTCATTTGGGTGTTCTTTCTTAAAAAGAAATCTGAGGCAACTCCAACACTCAAAAGTTTTATTAAGAAAGTTGAGCTTCAACTGCGAAAGTTGGTTCGTAATATTCGCAGTGATAATGGACTGGAATTCAAAAATTAAGACTTCGAAGAATTTCTGTCCGATAAAAGAGTCACACACAATTTCTCTACTCCTTATACTTCACACCAGAATGGCGTAGTTGAAAGACGAAACTATTCTTTGTGTAAAGCTGCACAAACTATGCTTACCTTCTCTTCGCTTCCTCTGTATTTTTGGGCTGACGCTATTGCAATTGCAAGCTTTACCCAAAACAGATCCTTTCTGAACAAGCGATTCTCTCTTACTCCATATGAAATCATTAACAATCGCAAACCTAACATTATGTTTTTCCATGTATTTGGTTCCAGGTGTTTCAT